AAAAGTAATGTCTCCTATTATGTTGGCCCACAATGCCAACATGTGGAAGTCTGTATGAAGCAAATTAAATTCCTCCATAAAGAAACAATGGCACCCACTGACATTCATCAATTCTTGCTGAAAATTTATCAAGACCAAACAACAGATTTGAGCACAGTGAGGTGTTTCAGTAGTGCAAACAGTGATGTGTGAGAGAAGCCTTGTGAAGGATGGCAGTACAGATTATTATGACTGGCATGCAGGCTTTTGCTCATCAATTCTGAAAACACACAGCTAATGGTGGTGACTATCTTGAAAATTGTGTTTTGTAGCTCTGAATTTGCTCTCTCAAATAGTGTCATCATTCTCTTTGTTTCTGCTGTAGTTTCTATAGAAATAAAGAAGAGACATTAGTTTTGGAGTTACCAATGTGTTAGGTCACTGCTAGGTCACATGGACGTGTTCACAGTCAATGGAAATGACTTTAATTGAATCATCAAAAAATAATTTTAGACTAGTAGATTTTCTTGCCTTCTTGCCAAATTTTATCAGCTTTTTTAGTTTGGGTTCATTCTTGTTACGGCATTGTCTTAACAAGTGTTTATATACTTCTCCTGAGTTTCAATCAAGGATGTGTGTAGGATAATGCTGAGAGAAGAGTGGGAAGCTGAAGTATTGTTGCATAATATTTCAGAATAGTATTTTCTTGTTAATGAGTGTAGTGCAAACCTGAAGGCAGTGCCAGAACTTCTCGGCTGTGCCCACTGAACTCATAATGGAATCTGCAGTTGTAGTATGATCTTATTATGCTCTAAATAACAGGATGTTCTTTTTCCTTTTCTGGATGATTGGTGGCATTAAAAATATATATATATATCATGTTTACAACAGAATTGTTAAGATTTGCATATCATCTACAAATGGTCGTGATATGATCTATATATAAAAAGAAAGCCAGTAATTGGGAACAGATCAGTTGATGATTAATAAGTTTCTGTTCTATGATTTGAAAAATCTGTCCTTCAAAAACTTAAAATGCCTGTTCTACAGCATTGCAATTAGAATGTTTTAAGTGGGCATGTAGATTTGTATAATATGATGGGTGCATGCATTGTATGTAAGAGGGACTAAAATCAAGCCAGATGCTAGGATTTATGTTTTCAAGAGGAGTTACACCTTTGATCCTCTCCCAGTCAAAACTCTATTGCTCTTCTGCAGTTTGCTGTAGATAGTAGGTAGCACATATTCTCTGAAATAAATTATTTGAAATGACAGAGGGAACATATAAGGCAGCACTGAAATGAGTTTCAGTGGGGTAGCAGCTTCTATTCAAACACACTGGTACGTGTTGGGGCACTCAAAATGCTCATACTGATGTTTGCAAATAATTTTTTTTTGCTGTCTATTTTAGAAACTTGTGCATGGAGTACTGATTTTGCTACTTTGGGCCAAATATTCAGCTGGCATACATAAATGTAACTCTCTTAATGTTATTAACAAAAGTTTGAAGTTCACCAACAATGCATTACTTTTTTTTTTTTTTTTTTTAAGAGACTGGCAAGGATTAGAAAGAAAAAAATCCCTTTCAAATCACCAGTGATTTCCTTTTCCAGAGACCGTTTAATATCCTAACTAGCACAAAGAAGAGCATTGGTGATTCTAATCCTCTTACCAGAGCCTTGGGAAACCAAAGTTTCTTGACTTCAGTTCAAGCTGTGTTAAATGTTCATAAGGGTTTCACAGATGTTGTTAATTTCTCTAAGCCACTCCAGGAGTGTGCAGTGCCACTCTTTTGCTACTTGTCCTGAGAATAGTATAATATTTTTGAAGGGGTGAAGGAAGACTTTCAGTGCTGCGATCACCACCCAATGTACAATTGACCCATAGAACAATGAAGTAATTGGAAGATTAGAGAGAGAAGGGTGTGGGGAAGAAACTGCACTATTTGAGAGTCAGGAGAGAAAAAGAGAGGAAAGTATCTGGCTGACAGTTTATTGCACTATCTTTAGTAGAAAAGAGAATAAAGCAAATAGAATTTGGCTGTGAGCAATGTAGCTTTTTTCACCAACTCAATGACAAAAAGTGCCCAGACCAAAAATACACTCTGGCAAGGAAGATAACATCATGTGGAAGCCTGCAATGTTTTAGCTCTACTGGTGGGATCTGACAGCAGGTGAGCAGATTCTTTAGTATTAAATTAACTGATGCTAAAAGAATGTGATTTTATATACCTGATAGTATCCTGAGACTACTGTTCACCATATAATGCAAGCCATTTTTTGTTTTGATTTTATTTTTTGATTTTATACAATTTTTTGTAGCTGCCGAATTGCCTAGGCCAACTCATTCCTCATCAGAGCTGTGTAATCATTCAGATCCTGGTTAGGCGTAGATAGGGGAAATTGTAACATCACCCACTTCTTATCCCCAAAGTTAGCAGTGTGTTTTTAACCTAGAATTACTGTATAAACATTGGTTATTAGAGCTAATATGCTATTTGTTGCTGATGGAGCTGATGGTTCTTTCCTGTGCCATTGAGTGCTGTGAACTCATTATGGTTTATCTAAATTTGTTTCTAGGAAGGATTTTTCATGGAAGTAGGCATTGTAATATTAATAGAAATCTTTCTTAGTGCATTCAAATTCAGTTAGTTTAAAGGCTGGATGTTTGCCTTAACGAAGAATTGAATTTCTTGGTGTGTGTCACCTGGTATATGGCTCTGCATAATATGCTGTATTGTATGGATTCTTCTACTGTCTTTTCATCTGAGCAGAGTTTGAGAGTTACTTTTAATGATTCATCTTGGATTTCTCCAAGTAACTCCGTTTTTAGTATTGCAAAGTGTAGCAATTGACACTGATAACAGAGCAGTTGCATGCTGTTTCTAAACAAGTGTGTATGTTTGCGTTTACTGCTTATTTTGTGTGGCAGGTGTAAAGATTTGTACCTTATTCAGCAGAGCATGTATGTATATTTTTGTCCTCAGTCCGATGATATTTCATTAGGGACCTCTGAGTCCCTCTGGGTCTGAGCCTTTGTCATCATTTTCAGCATTGCAGCAAGTAAAACTGTAAAAGAAAATCATTGCCTTAAGGTAGACAAAAATGGAATGAGGAAGAACTTTCCTACCTTTCTTAACAGTGCACACATTGCTTGCTATTAGGATCCAAATCTCGTCAGTCCCTTCCCACACCTCCCAGAGTGATCATTTTCTGCATGGGCTTAATTAGAGCATCCCATGGTTTGGTCTTTGAGGTAGGCTCTGCTTTGTACTGACTGTCAGTTCCTGGGATATGCTTATTAATGCACTAAAAAACAGTGTGGTTTTCAGCACTTGAACTCCATGGAATGTTCACTGGGACGTGTGCAGGGTTATATAATGACAACCAGTTCCCTTAAATATAATATGTATTGTAATATTTATGTATTTAGCTTCACAGAGATTAACTTTGGAACATGTATATATATTATTTATTGACATTTATGCCCTTCTTGCATCCAGGATGGCCTAACTCAACATCTGTTCTTGATTAAAGTGAGCATCTGGTATTTTACAGATAATTATGAGACATGAGCTTATTGTCCTCTAGGCCTATCAGACAAATTGGAACCAAACTCTCCATGTGGACAGTGAGATATGTTTCAGATCACACCTTTTGCGTTGTACTTCAGGGTTTATCTGTTGTACCCTGTTTGCCAGCAAAAGTACCAGCAAGATCAGTGCTATATCCTAGGACCAGAAAGGAAAGAAGTGATGAGGATGTATCCAGCACAGAAGAATAAAATGGGAAAGTTGAAAGCTCTGCTGTTGTTAAACTTTCTCCTTTGCATACTAATCTGAATTTGTAATTCTTCTTAATTCCTGAGAAATAGGTTTGTCGTACAGCAAAGGAATGAATTCAGGGAGGGGGAATGTAAAAAGCAAGTAGTTAGTGACCAGGATGTTGAGAGTTTTTTCCCTGACTTGTTTTCTAGAAAGTTAGGTTGGCTCAGGAGGAAAAATAGCATAAAACCACAGGATGACAGGTATGTACTGCAAGGAGCCTCACAAAATTCTGTCCTCTCTTGTTCTAAAGCAAGGTGCATAACTCATTGTTCATTATGAGCCATAAACACTAGCTCAACTATGATTAACGTATCCAATATCCACTTATTTGTGTACCCTAGTTCATGGCTACACATGTATTAATTAAAGGAGGTTATTACTCTGAACTTAAGCCTAAAAGAAGAGGATTGCAATCTTTGTTTCTTGTTCTCCTCTCTAACAACATTTCCTAGAAGAGCAAGCCTGTGACCAGATAACCTAATATGTTTATCTCTGTTAAAAGTTCTGATAGCTGCAGGATTTGGTTTCATATAATCATGGAATCATACAATGGCCTGGGTTGAAAAGGACCTCAGAGCTCATCTGGTTTGAACCCCGCTGCTGCAAGCAGGGTTGCCAACCACTAGGCCAGACTGCCCAGAGCCAGTTTATTTTTGCTTTTGTTTATCTGTATGCATTTGAAAGAAGTTGTTGGGTCAAGAGAACCCCAGCAAAATGCTTTTTCTTCAGGCACTTCAGGCACTCACGTAGTTTTCATTCCTTAGAATCTGTTAAAACACTTGAAAGTCAGAAGCATACCAATACAATCACAAATACCAATGAGATAGTTCAGGTTCAAATTGCAACGCCAAATTGTGCTAGTTCTAATAAATGATCTCTTGTTCACAAACCACGTGTCTGATGTACCTGTTGTGTTTATGCACTTCCTCTGAAAGTATGGTAAGGTGGGAAAAAGTGATTCTTAACCAGATGGTTTAAAGACATATCTAATGCAACACCATCACATCTTTTATAGCTAACTCTCAAAAGCAGATAGCAGTTACGTAGTCTCCGTAGCTGTAACTCCTCCTACAATCATTTGAATATTTAGTAGCTAAGCAAGTTTAGTTTTACTTATACTTTGCACTCGTGTCATTGGTTCTGCTAAGTTCTGCCAATCTGTTGTCATCTTAACTGCAGCTTTTTTCTTTGCCAGGTATTATTAGCCGCCAGGAGGCAGAAGAGCTGCTGATGAATAAATCTGAAGGAACATTCCTGGTGCGAGTCAGTGAGAAAATCTGGGGCTACGCATTGTCTTATCGCCAACAAAGTGGGTTCAAACACTTCTTGGTTGATGCTTCGGGGGATTTCTACAGCTTCTTGGGGGTAGATCCAAACCGACATGCAACACTGACAGACCTTATTGATTTTCACAAGGTAACACTCACTAGGTAGAGATCAATAGCTGAGTGGAGGTGATTAATAATTTAAAGAGTAGCCATGTAATTTGAAACCACACTAGAGAGAAGTAAGGATAGCAAGGAAAGGAATATATGTGTGTATATATTCTAGAGTAAGCCTTGCTTTAACATTTATAGTTGGTATCTTTTGTTGCAGTGAATTGGAAAGCTGTTCCCCTTTCTCTGTAGACATCTCGTTTGTGTTTTCCTTTAAGCAGTCTTATGCAATGTATACTTTCATAGGCTAAAACCAGACTAATAAGGGTTGAGAGAATTAACACTTTTTGAGCCTCTATGCTTTACAGAATTGCATGGGAAATACCACAGAAAAGGTCTTTGAATGAAGTTTCAGCATTTTTAGAGCGTTTTTTTTGTCACCTTTGATGTGATGGCTGTAATGTACGAAAGCTGAGCAGTGGAGCAGAAAAGAAAGGAATATTGAGGTTTTCTGTTGTAGGGAGGTGCTAAGAGTTGTTCCTTATCATCCAAAACAACTTTATGAGAGTAACTTCACTGAGGTCTTTGCCGAGTTTAGATGGGTTTGAATTACTTTGTCTCTAACTCGTGTTTCCTGTTTAGCAAAAGGAGGACAAAACAGAAGCACTGTTCCTGGTAGCATAGGCTGTTTTCATCACCTCGAATCTTTCTCCAAACTTCAAACTAATTCTATTATTTTTTTTTTGTTCTTTCATACAGCATTTAATTTTTCCAATATTCAGTCTCACAGTCACTAAGCAGAGATGATTTTTCTTCTAATCTCCCCTTCTGAATCTTTGGTATTTCACTTAGTTTGCAACTTCTCCTCAGTCAGACCTGCAGCTGTAATCTCTAAATTACAACTGTTACTACCAGTACAGCATACTGTAAATCAATTCTTTTGGATTTGATTGGTTTAACAAAATGAACCTGAGTTTCTCAGAATTTGCATGTTATGAAGGAAGAGAAATTATAGCGTGACATTCTTCATAGAAACACAGGTGGTCATCAATGGCAAAAAATCCCAAACTCATTCAGGTTGACTGAAAACAATTTATTTGTTCAGGTTTTGTTATGACTTTTCTCATCCTAGGCAATCGCTGTACTAGAAATCTATTTACAGACAGCAGTAGAGTACTTCTCAGAAGCTGAATAGCTTTTAGTTTGCACTGTCTAAATTTTTTTAGGTATTTCTTGATAATAGGTATTAGTTCCCCCTGTATTAAGCCTATCAGAGTAGCTCCTTCACCTTTAATGTCACCACACAGTTCTCTTTTAAGTGTCTAGCGTAACAGCTACATTAAAATTGTTCCCTTTGACAACCAGCTCTGTAGGCTTCTTTATCCTCTCTCTCATATGGTTTTCTCAGAAGCTTCTCTGCCTGCCTGTTCTGGTGATGTACCTTCTCAAGTGCCCTACAGCCTTTTGGTAACTGGCTATGCAATTTTGATTTCTCCAAATCATAAACCTTTCTCTTGCAGCTATTGCAATATTATTTGGAGCAATTGCTGCTTCCTCATTACTGTTTTTGCCGAGAGTACAGCTTCCTAATGCAAGATGCCAAAATTCCTTGAAGGTTTCTTTCCACTTCCAGTCAAAATGAGCAATGCTGGCATAACTAGTCCTGCAGTTATTAGCGCTTATTCATTTACAACTGCTTCATTTCAATTACAAAAAGTTAATACAAAGAAATCAATCCACTGATTGTTAATGGGAAGAACAAATATCTTGCAGAAAGAATGTAAATTTCCATTTTCTTTGCACATATGTACTGTGCAGCAGGCAGCAATAATACATCCATGATATTGCTAAATCCTTGCATTTGCTTTCTCATAACTTTCTCAAAAGCAGTTAACTTGCGTAATAAATTTTCTGAACTTAGCTTGATGAGTGACTGGGGTGGAACCACATCTTGGACTCTGCGTGTGTTCTGAGGAAACCAGGCACCAAATTTCCACTGCATTTTAGTAGAAACTGGATGCCTTTTGAAAAATTTAGGCCTAAAACTTGGATCAAATTTTATGCCATTGCAGTCAGTAACAATGCATGTGTAAATATCCAACTTATGCAATAACAAAAATGAATTATTATTACTCTAGAAGTAATGCAAAGACCATGTTCTCTACTGTTTTAGTAAGTTCTTCACTATTATTATTCATCTTAGTGATAAATTACTAGAATTACAGGTTTGTCATGCGAGTATCTAATTAATTAAATGAGGTGCTATTTTTAAAGATTATTTTTGCCTTAGCAAGATTACTATCTTCAGCTTCTCAGCCAGAAAGCTGTTACGCTGTTGTGTGTGAGCTCTCAGCATTGCACTCTTGCTCAGTCTTCTTGGGAAAGTTTCCAGCATCGCAAAGGCTGTGGGAGTAGCACAGTAGGACTGCTATGTCTGTTAAATTAATCATTCAGAACACTTTTTACAGACATTTATAGCTGTTTGTCTTAGCATAGCAACTAAAAGGTGAGTCAAATCACAGCATTTTTTGTGCATCAGCTATTTGATACCACTATTTGATACTGGCACAATTTACACAATTTACCACTGACATAAATACCAAATAAAGCAAGAAGAAAATACATAGTTGATAGGATCCCTTAGCTGATCTTATTTTTATCAAGTATGCTTTGTAGCTGATTACCAACAAGTGATAGATTTTTAATGCTATCAGCTTTTCTTAGAATTCAGGGAAAGACTTAGAAGTCTATGAACGATACTCTAATTTGTTTTACCTTTCTAGGAAGAAATCATCACATCCTCAGGTGGGGAGCTGCTACTGGAGCCATGCGGACAGCAGAAGAATCCACCAGACTACACCCCTTTATTTGAGTAACCAGGACTCATTGGAATGTGTTCTGGGTAGCTGCAGTAACAATAGATAGCCACAAAAGTAAACACCAAAAAGTAATTAACAGACTTCATAAGCCACTGGTCTTGTGGCCAAAGAGTGTCCTCATTAGAAGACCCCAAATGTGTCTGGTTCACATGTGATTTATCAAGATTATTCATATTGCAAGCTTTTTAAAGATGAAAAACTACTGACGGATTACAGATGAGGACTATTTCCAGAAATTTTTAAAAGGTTGTGGCCAATTGTAGTGAAAGCTAAGTTGCTGTCCTAATTTTCCTGACATTTAAGATTGAAAATGCAAAATCATGTACTTCTAACAGATTGAAGTATGGTTGGGAACTATTCGTTGAGCCTTGTGTAATGCACCAGTATTGCTGATCAAGCTCTTTTTTCCAAAGCAAAATTGTCAGGTTCTATGGATGATCTCTTCACTCAGTTGTGCACTTTCGGAAGCAAGCGATGCAGTCTTAAAATCTCCTTTTCCAGTTTGTGATTGCTCAAATGACTAGATATAGCTGGAGTCTTTGTATCCTGCTTTTCAATACAGACTGGCAAAGTTCACTGCAGCAGAGACGATCGGGACAGTCATTCTCATTCTGTTTACAATTACATGCAGTTGAGCTGCCCCAGAAGGAATTCTCCAGTACAAAAAAACGGTCAGTTCGAATAAACTTGTTATTCTGGTAACCACTGTTTGATTTGTAGTAGCAACCACAACTCATACTGACCTTGCTCATGTTTAGGTTTTTTCTGATGTACAAGATACGTGCTGGAGATTCTTACTTTTACTTTGCTGTAGTACTAGATATCTTCCTTGGTAGTACTAGATATCTTTCTTGACTGAGCTGTAAGTGGTACTGTAACATCTCATAACAAATCAATTCAGGAAATGCAGTAAATAAGCAATGCTTATTAGCTGGAGTTGCTCTTAGCATACAGTTCCCAGATAAGACATCTGGGCTTTTCACAGCAACTGAGTTTTCTGAGATAGGACATTATTTAGCTGCAGCTGATAACTTGAGATACCAAGTGACTTGGAAACTAAATAAAGAGCCAAGATACCCAAGGAGTCTTGGATTTTTTTTAAAAGTATACTCCTCTGCAGATCACCATAGTCTGGATCCTCAAAATGGAATATAGCTCTGCAATTCTGAATGTAGACTTAATTAACTCCTCTAGTACAATCTATGGTCTCTGTTAAAGGAGAAGCCTGGTGTGGTATGTCTGATCTGGGACCACAGTGCTCCAGATCATGGAGGTCAGCACAGTGGTGATTCACTGTGCATTTCAAATATGGACACTGTAAAAGACATAAGTAAGCTGCTTTCCCCTCTGCCCTCAATAGAACGTTCAGCAAGAGCTATCTAAACCCTCCAAGGAGCTCCCATATCTACTACCTGCTTTCTTACCTTACAGAGGTAAGTATCTGTACTTGTAAGTACCCATACATACCTCTGAGGCCAGAATGCTGAAGAAAGGAATTCACATTCACAGAGACTGTTGAGAATAGTTCTATTTATTTCTAATTAAAAAGTTCTCAGCATGTTCCCTTTATTTATTTATTTACTTACTTATTTGTTTTAGGGGTAAGAAGGCCTGGGCATATAGCTTTCTATCCTATGTGTCCTGTTCTGATGTAGTCAACATCATAACAGCATCATCATTTTCACTTTGGACTACATTTCCTATGTTTCCTTAGTTTTGTTAATTTTTCTGCTGATTCCATCCACTTCTCATTCTACGTTTTACCTGGCTTTAAAATAAATTTCTTTTAAGTTCCTCTGCAAATGAAATTGCTGTCTGGAAAACTGCAATTTCATCTGAGAAGTTTATTATGCTAATAAATGTCAGAATTCTCAAATAAAGGAATTGGTTTTTTTTCCATAGCTTCACAGAAACAATGAAAAACAACCAGCCAATTCATAGAGTATCAGCAAAGAAAAACTCAACAATATATAACCAGAAGCAGCAGCGGCAGTGAAATAGAGTGCAACTTGACTAAAGATAAATTTTGAAAGAAACTAAGAACAGGAACTTCTTGGTAGAGATGTGTGGTTGCTCTCTGCATGGATTAAAAAAAAAAAAGAATAATGGGGAAAATATACACTGATAAATAATAGGGGAAAATGTGCTTATCCCATAGTTTTGGAAGCATTTTGGCAGTCTGCTGCCCTTGGAGGAAGAGTAGGCACTGCTGCCTCTTCTTTAAAGGTTACCTTTTTTTCTGCTGGCCTTAGAGCTTTCAGCAGTAAGGTGAGTTTGAGCTCAGTGTACCTCTGCATTTGCTGTTTTCTGAAGCTGTTCATCTCCGTGTACTAAATTTTTTCCTCTGCTGCAGTTTCACTGTCTAGAATGGGCAGTTTTATTCTTTTTTGCAGTGGCCTTTAAGCCTCGCTTTCTGATCTGTTTTTCTATCAGTAGCTATTATTGGATCATAAGAGGTAGGTGTTATGGGTTTTCATTATAAAATTTCCAGGCTTTTTTTTTTTTTTTTTTTTTTTTTTTGTCAATGAGACCACTGGGAATATGATGAGAGACCTACTACAATAATCCCTGTTTCACAGGGAAAGATGTTACAGCAATAAGGAAAACTTTTAAACACTTCCCTTTATGCCTGTTTCATAGCAATAAAAAAAATGGCATGCAAGTTCCCATGCTTATTGGCACACATCTTTGAAAAAGCAGCTCCTGAGGGTTATTCTTACTTTTTCTTGCATTTGTTCTTTCTAGTTTTGTTTTAATCTGTTGTATGTGCATACATAGATATTTCCTATTTGCTATTGATGTCACCTCTAAGGAAGGGCAAAAATCAAGCAAAGGAATTGACAGTAGTCATGGATGAGATTTTCAAGGCTCCTCAAAGAATATAGGTGGCAGTCTATTATTTCCTGTAATTACTGTAGTAAAGTAACTATCTAGAATGAGTGTATTTACATAGTACTACTTGTATAAAAGCATAATCCAAACTAGCTATTAAGTTCTGAATCCTTTTTGTGCTGATGGAGTATTGAACAAAAGACAGCTCCTGCCTCAACACATATCTACGTAAAAATGCTAGTTGAAGTGGAGATTAGTTTCAGACTTACTGAGTAGAAACTGTTCATAAACACCATAAATTCAGAGAGAGAATATCCACTAGATTTCAATGGCTTTGAATCAAATCCGTAAAACACATTTCTCTGCTGAAGTGAACCAGGGTTAACCCACTGATGACAGTAAAACAATTCAGTTTTCAGAACTAGAGATCTGCTTCAGTTCGTTCTCTTAAGTCCCTGCAAGTCTGGCTGCAGAGCATTAATGGAGTTACACTGCATTTCTCTGCAGTCTGAATTCTTCTCTTAATGCAACAAAACAAACTTGATCTCAAGTAAAAAAGGGCTGTTTACAATGAGAGAAAATTTTTTCTTCTTTTCTGTTAGTGAATTTATTTGCATCATTTAATAATTTGAGTCTATTTTTCAATGACTTTCAAGGACTGACTTTCTTTTGTCTTATTCTGCCTTTGCTTTAGAATTTCTTTTTCTATTCTTGAGAGAATGGGGTTAGTGACCTCTGTGAAGTAATAATGTGTCCCTGGCTGGGCTATCAGTTGCAGAATGATGTGTTTGCACTTGACCAGATGTTTGACTTGTGTTTCCTGAGATAAATCTTTTGACATACTGTCTGATGATAATGATACTTAATTGATTTTTATAGCTAGTTTCTTGCCACGCAAGTGCTGCATGAAACCTCTTCAAATATTTGTTTACTGCTAGCAATTAGTCCTGTAGCTTGTACACTTACATTATGAGCCGTAGCTAATGCAAATTTTCTACTAGGCTGGAGCCTTCAGTGAATTTTGTTTCTACTCTCTTGGACTTTCATCCAGTAGTTTTAAATTAAGGTAACAATTTTATAGTTTCTTTATTAAACGTTGATATTTGATTTTTCTTATGGAGAATAAATCAGTTTAAAAGAGGTTGGACATTAGTTTGGTCTTAATTGTGTCCTTTTGATGTGTGTGTGAAGGAAACACTTAGCATGTTAATGTCTCCTTTAAAGTTCTGCTGCCATTTCTACCCTGTTCTCAGTTTTAATGAGAATTCTGTGTCAAAGAAGGTCATGCACTCGTGAACAATTGAGAGAATAGGAAAGAAAAGGAGCTCAGATTGTCTTTATTTCACAGAGTTTTACGTATAACAGTTGGCCAAGTCTTGTATTTAATATTTCATAAGACATGGTGTTTTACCTGCTTAGCATTCGGGGGATCTAGGGTGAGACTTACTGACATTGCTTTTATACAACAGCAACAGGAAAATACTCATACAGCATGTAACTCCCAAATGGAGTTGAATGAGTAACATTGGGAATAACACTAGGTACTCCGAGAGTGGTACAAAAGTAGTGTATAGAAAGAGTAAGTGAAAATTTAGATCAAGAATACAATAAAGACAATTTGTATATAGCTATGTAGAGCTAGGAGTGTTTACATATCCTTATTTGGTAGAATTTCCTTTTGTCATTAATGCTCAATCCATGTGAATACATGAGCAATATTAATTCTATTATTCCAAAAATTCCTGGGATGTAGATTGCCTGAAAGGGAGATCAGAAATAGTTCTCGCAGACAAATTATTATGCATTACTATGTGGTATTTGGGGCAGAGAATTTTTAGATTTATTGTACATAACTGCTGGGATGTGAGAATGTAGGAGATAAACACTGCTCACCACATAAACCATAATGAAATTTTGTCATTTTTATAGCACTTGAAATTCAACAAGGAATAAAGCTGTCCCAGGTTATACTGCTCTCTTGTAGGAAATGCTGTCCATGTCATAAAAAAACAGAAACTTGTCTAGGAGATTAAACTTAATAATGGACTTAAATACTACAGGAAATCATTTCAGAGGCCTACGTTAAACACTGCACCACTCTTAGTAAGATAACCTATTGTGCTTTCCTCTTAGTTCTCAAACCCCTCTTGTTTGTGATAGCAATCCAAACTTCATAGAGGATGTATTACAGTATGTAAGAAGTTATCATTTTTACCATTAACTTTTTATTTCAGAGTATCTGGGGGGAAAAAAAAAGTCAGAGAGCAATGACCAAATGCACACAGTTCTGCTGCATTTGCAGTATGCTGGTTGATCAGTTTTGAATTTTGGTCTGCTATGTGCTCCATGGCAACCTACTCACACTTAAAAAAAACCCCACAAGACAACAAGCCACTAAGTGCTATGCATGTGAGTGAACTGTTGTGTGGGTCAAAAATCTTCACCCAGTTCCAGTGCTGAGCAACCACAACATCCACTGGAACCCATGTGGCCATTCTTACAATCACCCTTCATTTTTCCCAGAAAGAAATGGAGTTTTAAAACCTTGCATTGACATTTTCAAAAGTAGGACTGTCCTATTTTCCAAATATTCAAAGCTTTTCTAAGCGTAGCCATGTTTTATAATTAAATAGCTTCAAAGTATGTACAGGCATTTTTTACTGAAGAAAATATGAGAAGTATGCAAAAGTTTATCTCAAACTATTTCTATACTTTAATAAGTTTTCAAAAATGTGTTGCGTTAGGCACCCAAGTTAATACAGATATTCAGTGATTTTGAAATTTGAGTAGGTATCCATTTGCTCCTTATTTTCCTTTCAAGGAGGAATGGAAACCCAGTGAATAGATATACAGAGCTTCAAACCCATTAAATAATGTGAGTTGACAA